AAGTTCTAGAGAACTGGAATAAAGTTAATGATACAAGATTTATTAAAAATCAAAGAGTTCCTTGGCCAATTCTTTTAATACTCCTGAATGGAATTTCTCTGATTCTACAGAAGTTAGTGTTTTTAACTTTAATAGCTGCAGTTTAATACCCTGCCTAGTTACTGATGGACTAGAAAGTATGTCTAACTTTGATAATTCAGCACTCACTTTGCCACATTTCTGGATTAGCCCTGTATTCAGAGTTAAATTTCCCACCTATGCAACATTTGCAGATAACCTTTGCTGTCAATACAGTGACCTTAAGGCACATCTTGAATATGAAACAATTGAAGTGATCCATGAATTACCTGCTATTTCTACTCTGATCTTACAGGAAAGTGTTCATCCACCATTTTCCACACACAGTTTTAAAATTTTACTCTGATTAAAAGATCAGTGATGTACTACAGCAGGGGTGGCCAACCTGTGCCTGAGAAGGAGCCTGTATTTACCAATGTACATTGCCAAAGAGCCACAGTCATGTCAGCAGCCCCCATCCGCTCCCCCCTCCTCCTGCCTGCCAGCAGCCCTGCTGATCAGCGCCTCCCCTCCCTCCCCGTGACCTTCCCCTCCCGCAAGGCCCTGTCCCTTCCCACTCCCTCACGCGGCCTGCAGTAGACTCTGGGGGGGGTGAGGAGAGGAGGGAGGGCAGGGCAGGCTTGGGGGAGGGGGTGGGAAGGGACAGGGCCTTGGGGGAAGGGCATGTGGCAGAGGCAGGGGTTGAGCAGTGAGCACCTCCCAGCACATTAGAAAATTGGCACCTGTAGTTCCAGCCCTGGAGTCGGTGCCTATGCAAGGAGCCACATATTAACTTCTGAAGAGTCGCAAGTGGCTCTGGAGCCACAGGTTGGCCACCCCCTGCACTACAGTGATCAGTCATGAAACTGATTACCACTATCTATTTCAGGTTCCCACCACTTAAACATAGCAAAAAATCTAATTTTATAAGCAGTAATCAAACCATTTAGGTGTTCAGCTTTGCTTCGAGTACCACAAAATACACAGATTTCTAGCACCACAAGATCATTTTCTTTTAATTTAAAATTATATTTTGCTGCTAAATCCCATCTTTACTTCCCAAGTCACAAACTGAGGCATTGAAATATTTGTCCCAATGGAACAGTATTCTCTAAAATAGGTATTACTTTACACGGACAGGTTGCATCCTACTCTTTCCTCATTTCTAAAATTGGAGGGGGAGGGGAGAAATCAACTGCTACTTTAAATTTACGTTTTTTATACTTGCAGCCTGATCTCTCTCTCTCTCTCAAGGTCCTCCTTCTCTCTGAAAAACCAGAGTTAAGGAAAAGAAAGAAAAAAAAAGGGCAAAAAAGAAAAAAAAACAAATTGTTGAAAATTATGTTAAAGGTTGCTGATGGCTTTCAAGGATAAGAAGGATGAAGAAATACAAAAAAAGAATGTATGGTAAACGTTGGACTTGAGGGCCTGGTAGGACATCCTTGCATA